GAGAGAGAGAGAGAGAGAGAGAGAGAGAGAGAGAGAGAGAGAGAGAGGTCAGAGCATAGCAAAGGATGCCTGTATAATTGTAGCAGTGGCTACTATCCTGAGTTTAATATCCTGAGTTTAAGGTCAGGCTGGGCTACATGGCAACACTACATCTCAAAAAGAAAATCAACAGGATGACAACAATAAAAATCAAAGAGGGAGACAAAAATAAGGACTGAGAAAGAAAAATATAATGGGGAGTGAATGTGATCAAATATGTGGCATGCATGTGTGAAAATGTCATAATGAAACCCATTATTACATATAACTGATATATGCTATTATTTTTTGAATGCTGGCAAGGATGAAGAAGAAAGGGACCCTAGCTGATAAAGTTATGTAATGGCACAGTAACTTTGGAGAAGTTATTTGGTCATTCTTCAAAACACTAGTGTTCCCATATAACAAAGTAATTTCATTCTTGGGTATATGCCCAAGTAAAGACATATATGTGTGTGTGTGTGTGTGTGTGTGTGTGTGTGTGTGTGTGTATACATATACATACGTACATATACATATATATGTATATCTGTCTTCACAGAAGTATTATCCTAAGAAGTGGCAACAAATGATGAGTGAATAAACAAAATGTGGTGTAATCACAAATGGAATACTATTTAGTCATAAAATAATACTGATATATGGTAAAACATGGATGAATCTTGAAAGCATTATGCCCTGTTGTACTAGTTAGATCTGGAGAGTGTTTATTTTTTGTTTTTTGAGACAAGGTTTCTCTGTGTAACAGCTCTGGCTGTCCTGGAACATGCTTTGTCAACCAGGCTGGCCTCAAACTCACAGAGATTCACCTGCCTCTGGTTCTTGAATGCTGGAATGAAAGGCATGTGCCACCATGCGCTGCTGTGCTAGTTAGCTTTAAATGTCAACTTATAACCTAGAATCATCTGGGAGAGAACCTCATTAAAAAATTGTCTAGATTAGGTCCACATCTATGGAGAAGAGTCTTGATTGTCGATTGATGTGGGAGAAATCAGCCATTGTGGGTGGTCTCATTCCCTGGGCAGGGGATCCGGAATGGTGTAAGAATAGGAAAACCATGCTGAGTCGCGAGAGCAAGCAGGAAGCATGGGTGCAATTCTCTGTGTTTTTGACTGTGGATGTGATGACTAGCTGCCCAAATTCCTGCCTTGACTTCTCCCCTATGATGAACCGACACTTGGAATTGTAAGTCGGAATAAGCCCTTTCTTCCTCAATGTTGATTTTGGTCAGGGTATTTGTCTTAGTTAGTTCTTTAATTGCTGTGGAGACACCATTGATCATGGCAATTCCTATAAAGGAAAACGTTTCACTGGGGCTGGCTTACAGTTGAGAGGCTTAGTCCATTATCATCATGGTGGGAAGTTTGGCAGCACACAGGCAGATATGGTGTTGGAGAGGTAGTTGAGAGTTCTACATCTGAATACACAGGCAGTAGCATGAGGAGGTGATTGGGACTGGCTTGAGCTTCTGAAACCTCAAAGCTGGCCCCCAGTGACACACTTCCTCCATCAAGGCCACACCTACTCCAACAAGTGTGCCTCTCTCCAATGATGCCTCTTTCTATGAGTCTGTAGGGGCCATATTCATTCAAACTACCAGAGTGTTTCATCCCAGTAACAGAAACAAAACAGGGTATATGTGAAAGGAGTCAATTCCTTAAGGCACCATATTATGTAGTTCACTAATATGAAATGTATCTAATAGTAAAATGCAGAGAGAGAAAGAGGAAATCAGAAGTTACCAGGGAATGAAGGAGATATTCAAGGCTTCTTTTGGTGGCAATGAAAATATTCTGGAATTAGATAGTGATGATGACTGCACAACATCCTGAATACATTAAAAAAAAATTAACGGGCCTCCAAGTGGTGGGATGCTTGGTTAACGAGCACACGAATGTGGGGTTCATCCTCAGCCACCACCCAAATAAAAAAGAACTGAATCTTAAAATAGAGAAATGTGCAGTGTGAACTAGTTAAAATTAAAA